AATTAACACTGTGATGAGCAAGTTAAAATGACATTCTGAATCCAATCTAACAGTTCTGGTGAGGAAACTACAGTCCAGAGAGGCTGGGAACTGCTTTTGGTCAGCAGTGGCAGAGCCAGAACCCAATTTACCAGACTTCCTTCCAGTCAACACTCTCTTCAAAAAAATCAAGCTTCAATAAATCTATTCCAGACCTCTAATATGTAAACAGTGCACACAGCACATGAGCTGATAACCTTGTAATTGTCAACTTACAAATTACCCTTTTAAAAGAATACAAAGAAATCCCTAGGTGAGAGCTGAGATGGTGTATACAAATTTGAAGTGTGTTTATACACACTATTAATCGCTCCTGTCATAGTTTATACTAGTTATCCATGTTTTGCTGATATCAATTGTTTATCTTCACAGCTTTTCCACTGAAATAATAATACCAATAACAACTACTAGCTCTCTTTTGCTCTCAATGTGAAGGATAACATTAATACATTGATGCAAATTTCTAGTGTTTATCTTTATGCATTCATTTAAATGGAACCAAAGCTGAAGAAATCATTCCTTAACAAGATAATCACAAAACAAATCTTTGTGCCAACTATTTCATTGCTAGATTAAAGTCCATTGTGATATAACTAAAAAGAAAATTCTTTACTTTGGAATTTGGCTGGAATCAAGACAGCAAAAATAGAGGGTTGCGTAAGAACGTTGGAAATCTTTTTGTTTTTGCAAAGATTTATAGTATAACAGTATTGTATCTTAAAATGTCTTCTATTTGATGGAATTTTTAAAGATAAATACAAATTAAAAAAACATTTAAAAAGCAGTCATTCCCCAGTTTTGAAGAGTATTTATGAATAATACTATATTAGGAAAGTTCAATGGGGCATTCTGTGTAGAGTTAAGTATTCAGTGCCTGTGCTCTGCATTTGTTACCAAAGGCTTCTTTATCAGGAGGCAAATGATACCCTGCAAATGTTTTAAATGTGCAACTTTGCTTATCTTCCTGTATTAATGACCCTTATGGCAGTTGTTATGTTAACCTTATCACATAGCACAGCAATAGGTGAAACCTATTGTGAAGGGAGGAAAAGAAAAAGCATTTAGAATAATCTCCGGGAACTTTTTTTCAACCAAGGAATTTTCTGATCGTCAATCCTGGGGGGGTGCGCAGGGGAGGGGGAATAAAAGTTAGATTTTTACTCATTTTCTTAAAATCTCAAGGAAGAAACTAGACTTTTCCAAATGGGTGATTCATTAAACATATATAATGTGGAGCTGGCACTGATTAGACGAGCGACAGAAGGCTGGTTGTGAGCACTGGGTTTCACCAGGTCCACCAAGGAGCTCTGACCAAGGGACAGTAAGTGGCTCCTGAGAAAGACAGTCCTCCTGGACCAGGCTCTGAACTGCTCATTTGTGAATGACATTACAAGAATTCGCACTTACCCCTCATAAGACTTCTATTTCCTCCTTCATACAGCCTGTGTGTGCACATATAGGAAATTCGAAAGCTGCGGCTTTTCAGCCCTTCTAACTTTGACAATACCAAACCAGACCCTGACACCCTTCCACCTTCTCCTTCACCCAAGGTGCTCAAGTTAGGAAACTACCTAACTTTATGATTGAAATTAATGTTTTCATTCAACTACAAATGTTTGAGCTCAATAAGTACAGGAGCAGAGAGAGCACACGCCCTGCCACTCCTTTGACCAGGTAATGTGCTTTTTCTTTTTCTTTTTTTCTTCATTATCCCTTTAATGCAGAGCAGGGCTACTGATTACAAAGAGGCAGCTTGACTCAGGCAATAGGTCTTCTTCACTAATCCTCACTGTCATGGAAATTCCAGCTGCTACAAGAATAAGAGGCTCAATCCATATTTGCCAGCTCTAATATGAAATCTGTCAGAGCCCAAATTAATGAGTTCCAAATTCCTTACATCACGATAACAGGTTAAGACTGGTCAATTAATTACATAAATCCTTCCCGATTCATTGTGCGTTTGCAGCCCAGATTGTGTCTTACATTACTCCATGACACAAGGCCTTTTGGCTCCTGTTGTTCTGCAGAAAGGCCCCATTTAAGTGGAGGCTGCCTGCCACGGCAAAATGTTAAATGTCACACGTTAAATTTGCACTTTTCTGTAATTGCTTTTGTTAAAAAAAAAAAAATTAAATGAAAGCACAGGGCTCCCAGTACACCACTACGCAGAGGGCTGGGAGTGTACAGAAGGATGCCAGGGCAGGCAAGTAACTATCTTTTACCTCCAAGAATTTACACAATCCCCTCTGGTCCGGGTTCCCAGTAGACTGTTAAAACCCAAATGTGCACATTTTCATAAATCAAGTTTTTCTAAGATCTGTGGCAGCAAAAATAAATAATTAGGAGGATATTTTAACCCTTTCTTCATGGAAGGGATTAAGATGTAATTCCTTATCTAGCCAGCTTCCCTTTTGTCTACCAGTAAAGGTTTCAGCTCTGTGAAATACTATTGATTTAACTCACCTTTTCTGGAACATATATTGTACAAATGCGTGTGTGTGTGTGTGTGTGTGTGTGTGTGTGTGTGTTATACTTGTGTAGGTGTCACCTTCAAAGAGGCTCTGCTGTCTGGACTTGCAACTGATAACTGATAGACACCTACAGAGGGAGAATAACATGGAACTGGGGTGTCAAAGAACTTCAAAAAAACAGCTAGGCCAAATCTTTTCCTTTTCAAAACATCAAAATGTTGTTGCAATCACGGCTAGTTATTCCAGGTCCAACTAGACCTGGAAGTGCAGACTTCCAGATTCCCAGCGGGGTGTGTCCTCATCCCACTGCAGTGCCCTGTGGAGTGGACTTTTTGTGTTCCTGGGTCCTCGGTATCCAGTGGACCCAGTATCATCTTAAGATGGTCTCTGGGTCCTGCAAATAATGAGCGAGTAGATAGTGCTCCTAAGGCTGGCTTGCGATCTGTGATCTATGTGGGGCACAGGTTCTTTGCCTTCGGGAGCCCTAACTCCACTCCACCACGCAGCCAGCCCGTCAGCCCCTAGCAGACGCGAGCTCCAGCAACCACCGCCGCTGCGCCAGCCCGGCAGCGCCCCCGCCTGGCCCCTGGCGGCCTTGCGCCGGGTATGCCGCGGGCCACGCGCTCCTCTCCCCAGGCAAGGAACACAGTTCGGCTTCTGGGCGCCCAGCCTAGTGGGGTGGGGGACTTGTCTCTACCCGCCCGCCTACTCCCCGCCACACCCCTACACCCATTAAACCCGAACCCAGGGTCGTTTCTGAACCCGGAGACACGCGCTTCGTCCCCAGCGGCCCAGTTCTGCCACTGTCCTCTCCCTCTGCAGCCTGGCAGGATTTAGGGTCCTGGGGAGACTCAAGAGGACTGGGGTTCACTAATGCGTGCGGTGCGTGCGCAGATAAAGCATTTCGAGCGGGTGGGCTTTGCCCCAGTTGCACCGCGACTCGGGGCCTCCGCGGAGACACGCCAGGCCCCGGCCACACCCAGGCCCCGGCGGCGGGCGCTGGCGCCGGCTCAGGCCGGACGGCGGGGCCGGGGGTCGCAGCCTCGCGCCGGCGTCTGCAAAACAAAGACTCGGGGCCAGCCCCAGACTGGGACCAGCCGCCACCAACGCCTCCCCCCCCCCACCCCCCGGCGCTGGCGCGGCCCACTCAGCCCGGCGGGGCCGAAAACCCAGCGGATCGGCCGGGTCCCGGCGCGCGCGCGCCCACACACCAGGGGGGCCCTGGAAATGACTGCGCCCAGCGCCCCGGACGGTCTTCGCTGGTCAAGGTCCCTGCACCCCAAACCCAGCGCCCTAGGCCCCTCTGCATTATTTTTGACTCTTTTCCGAGCAGCCAGAGCTGTCGTCTCGGCGCGGGGAAGGGGCCTCGCGGTGCCCAGGCTGGAAGCAGGTGGGGCCGGGGCGAGGGCGCGGCAGGTTGGGCTGGAAACCGCAGTCCTCGCGCGCCGGTTCCCACTCGCCGCCCGCCACCCCCCTCCACCGGTTTTCTTCCCCCCTTTCTTTCCGCAGCGCAGTTGCCATGGGTTACCAGGGCGGTTGCCATGGGTTACCGGACCGAGGCCGGCCGGCTCGCTACCTGCCACCCAGTCGCAGCCGCCGGCGGAGCAGCCGGGGCTGGAGGAGGCGGGAGCGCGCGTGTGCGGGGCGCGGCGCGGGAGGGCGCGCGAGCCGCCGAGGCGCCGCAGCCAACAGGCGGCCGAGGGTGCAGCCGCGGGAGCCGCACCGCCGGTGGGGTGGGGGGCAAAGCTATAAAGAAGGCCCAGAGGTAAGAAACTAGCAAAAACACAACCACAAGTTATGCCCGTGCTGTGCCTCTAGCAGCAAAGACAAGCGGTGTGGGGTTTTGGATGAATCTACACTTCTCGTCGGGGGAGAAAGGGTATTTTCCTTTTAGCATAAAAGATTTGCATAGTGTCTTTAGACCAGAGTTTAAATTCAGCAGGAAATTGTAGCTTAATTTTTTTCCTCTATAGCTTTTGAAAAGAAATCTTTGGAATTTAGGAGAAAGAGAAAAGGGTCATTAACTACCAGAGTTTGCGCAGCTAACTAAATTAATGTCCAATGCACTGTTCCTAACAATGATCTAGAAAAGTTTCCAGCAAGAGTGAAGAGCAATTGTGTCTGACTTAAAGGGACAATGGTGACTCGTTTGTGAGATGCATATGACAAAGACTAGAACCAAAATCCTTTGTAATGTTGCAAGTTTTAAAGAAATTGTTTTTTATCTACGTCCTTAAATTTTAAGCTCCATACTTACTAAAATGTATTAATTCTTAGCGACCTTTATTTGCAAAGAAAATTGTCTATGCTTTGAATGTCAAATTGAATAATGTCAGACAGCATTTTGTATTTGACAATGTGTTTATATATACTAAGAAAAGATATGTATTCCAAACAAAACACAATTGTTCTGAAATAAATTGTTTCCTCCATTGAAAAGAAATCTCGTTCTGTTAATAGGATACCAGTGATTTAAATATTAAGAGGAAAACTATTTAGAAACTGAATAATCTTTTGTTTAGCTCTTGTCTTAAAATTTTAGAGGCCTTTCGTGATAAAGTCTTCCTTTATAGCTGAAACACTGAAAATCTTATTTGCACTACAGTAGTTCAATGAGGATGAATGGTTAAGGCACAAAGAAACTATAAACTGAATTCAGAACAATAAAACAACTTATGTTGAATATAATGGTAACTATAGTTAGATTAAATGAGTTTGTTCAAATTCTTTACAGCCATAAAAATATTATTCTTTCACCTTACAATAGCAAGGTTATTGCAAATCACTTGTTTGTCATTATTCAATAAAATAAGAGCTAGGCTTGAAAAACTACTGCAAGATACTTAGTATTTTAAGAGGGACTTAAAATATTGCTTAAACATTTGTGCTTTTCAGTCATTTTTAAAACTTTGAATTTTATCTAGACTTTAAATCAGCTTCTTCCAAGTGAGACTTTAAAAGAAACTCTAAGTAACAGGTTGTTGACTTTTATTGTTGACACGTACGGATTATATATAATAAAACCAATTTTAAAACAAAACCTATAAACTGGCTTTAGAAGTGAAAGTTCACCCTGTCAGAATTAGCCAGGGAAAAACAGTTTTGCTATATGTAAATCACAAAGCATCCAGTATTTGAATTCTTTAAGTTACATTAAAAATAATTTCAAATCTATATTTAGTTTACTTAGGTAACTAGTTTCTCTTCCTAAGGAAAACTTTATGAAAATAAGCCAGAGAAAAGTAAGAGGCTTGAACAGAACAAGAAAGCCACTGGGGGCTGAAGTTCATCTAAATATCTCAGCTGCAGGAAATCAGTTTTAAGAAACCAGTGCTTACATAGCAAAACAATCAAGTCAGCGCAAAAAGCCTCAAATGTTTACAACTATAGTGAATAGTAAAACAAATTTTACCAAAGTTTCTTGTGAAAAATTGCCATTCAGAAACATACTGAATTTAGGTCTAAATCTGAAGAAATAAATTCTCTCATGTAAAATAAGTAATCCAACAAACTTAAGTTGATTTTTTCATGTTTAATGTGAAAACGATGATCTTGTGAAGTTTATATACCATGGTATTGGGCATTAGTTAATATCAATTATAATGGCTATGTTACATCATAAAAATATGAGAATTGGTGGTACATTGGATGCTTTTGAAAACTGCTGTAATACAGAAATAATGTGAAATGAAATAAATATTACTGAGGAGCGAGGGATTGCTCCTAAATGACTAGATGGCAAACTTCACATGCTAGCAAGATAAAGAAATTGCTAAATCTTTTTTTCCCCTGAATAAAAATAATGAGTTTTAAATGATAAATTCACAGTATCAAAGATACATTAAATTAAAATATTTACAAATGTTTAATTATGTTTTAGACCAAACAAAAAACAAAAACAGGAAAAGTTAAGGAAATCATTCTTATTCTAAATTTCATTTGTTTCTGTTCTCAGAAGCATTTCAAAGACTTTTTAATACAGCGACTTTTAAGCTCCTTGTTAAAACAAAATGAAGTAACATTTAATTAAAGCAACAAGTTTTCCCAGTTATGTGAAAATATCCTCCTGTGTCAGAGATATTCTGTACCATTTAACAAGAAAGAAACTTGGACAATTATCTCAAGAAAATGCTGTCTCATCTGAAATTTGATGTGCAAAGTAGTTTTAGACATTTTTATCTTTGTGCCACTAAAAAAAAAAAAAAAGATATTTTAGTAAAATTATACCCATCCTCAGGGAGATGCCTAAAAAGAAATGGCATATTTAAAATGAATAATTCTGAAATCAGCAAGTTGATGTCCTTTTTCTACATTATGGGACTATTCATTAGTAAAATTAAATGTATTAATTTTTATAAGATCCTATTTCTAACTTTAAGAAAAGTAACAAGTACCAACCAATGAAAGTTATCTAGTGATAAGGAATGACACATTTAGTCAGAAAATAAATCATTAAACTATAATTGTAATTATACAATGATAATGACAACAAATGATTTCTTTCTAGAAACCATGTGTTTAAGCTGCTTTTGGACAATGAAAATGGATGTCTGAATTGATACATTGCAAGATTACTAGTAGTAGTTCTGTTTTTCTAACATGAAAGCATTATTTTAACATGTCTCTAGTGATAATATACATATTCCATCTGAGTGTGAAATAGAATACTGGAAAGGTTAAACGCTCCTAAAATATCTCAAACACCCAAAAAGTAGTGTTTCCAGTGCAGGGGAGGTGTCCACAAAACAGGAGCCGCATGTCTGAAAGAGACAGGTTGGTCTAAGCTGCTGTGGGTCTTTATAGTGGTGAAGACCAAACACACTGTGTTTATAGTAACACTGCTCCATTGATACAAGAAGGAATGCGCTACCTGGATTTTAAATGCTACCTATTTACCTATCTTTTAAGATTCAATAAGCCAACTCTATATTTTACACATATAAATCATTCACAATAGGTTCTTGTTTTACCAGTAATGTCTGCCTAGGGAGGTAAGTATTGCATTCACAGGCTTTTAGCTTATTACAGAAGCTTAACCAAAATAAGACAATGGAAAAATACCACTAATAAACAACCCAGAGGCTCGTAAGAATTTAAATACCTAACATCATGACAGTGAACTTTAGGTAAGAATATATTATTAGCAAGCTTTCTTCCCTATGACTGGACATCATTTGCTGTTCCTCAGATGTTAACATTAGAATTATTTTTCAGGATTCTTGCGGAGCTGTGCTCATTTTACATCCATGTGAACTGCTGTCATCACTACTATGTCCAAACCCAGAGGATGAACTGGAAAAGAAGAGGGGGAAATAATAAAAAGAGGAAATTGGTTTTCACAACACACTCAAAGCCTGAGTAACAGAGGAGAACTTTAATTATCTCCAGTCACAAAGAGAGACAGGAAATTTGGACTTTTAATTAGCCATTTGGAGTGCAGTTGGATATTTTTTTAGCTAGATAATTTAAACGCGAATAATTCAAGTCTGACTAAATGAAAGTCACATAATCAGAATGCAGATAATTGAATTTCTACTGCATTCATTAATTCAGTGTGGAGGTGTGTGTGAAGACTACTATGATGAGCTGTCACAGCTCAATAAAATCTCAGTCAATTAATTTTTTCATTATCTTAGTATTACATCAACAAAAAAGTGAAGTGAGTGTATATATCTATACACATGCATATGTGCACTATGTGTTGTATAAATATGTATACATTAAATCAAAACGCCAGGAAATACCTTTCTGAATCATAATCTATATCATTTTCCTTTTTTCCTTCTTCATCTTCTTCGGGGAAACGTCTGTTCATCAAGGCAAACTTGTGAATCGCTTCTTCTACGGAGTACTTAGTCTGCCCAGAAACACACGCCTCTATGTCTTCTGAGTTCAGATGGCTCTGCAAGAAGAGGTGAAGGCTGCTGTCTGAGAGCAAAAGTGCGTTCTGTAGGACCCTAAGTGAGAGAAACGGGGGTGATTGGTGAGCAGGGGTGGACAATTATAGGTGAGAGAGAGAAAACAGAGTAATGTGCCACCGAAGTCATTTCTCTACTATAGCAAACTTTTCATCAATTACAGACTCTGCCTATTAAAGGGATGAAAGCATATGTTAACTTTTATTCAATTATTTGGAAATTTAGGTGAGTAAAAACATGAAGCTAATAGTTAAGAACATCTGTTAAAAGAATAACTTCAAGGACATTTCTTCAATTTAACCATCTGTTATGACCATGTGGATTAATTATGGAAATATTTTGCTTATATAGTCAGAGAAATTTATGCTACTTTTTAAAAAAATTTACTGCCAAGCAGCACGTCACTTCTGTGATCTTTACTGGCTTGGCTGTCATGAGACATCAAAACTTTCAACTACTATTAAAATTATATTTAAAAGTCAATACATTTCTCAGCATGTTTCACATTTTAAAACTTTACAAGGAAGCTTATGAACAAGTTTACAAGGGCTCAGTTGAGAAGTGGCCATTTTCGAATATTGAAAATCAGCTGGAAATTTCTCAAAAATCTTCAGCAATGCTGCATATCTGTGTTAAAATGAGCCAACAAGTAAAATTGCTCTCAGCCAATTTTACCATGTATGTAATTAAAATCTGAAGTCTTGTGATAAGTACATACTATCCTTCCCACGCTCAAGATCCAAGTTTACAAAGATTGTACAAATTTCTACTCGAGTATTAGAACTACATAGAAGATTAAAAACTACCCTAGAGCAAAATTTGCATTTATTACTATTATTGAGTGTTTTCTTCCTTAAAATATATGTCTTAGAATAGGAAACCAAGACAAAGTACACTCATAGTTAAATAAAAGTTGGTTTTATCTTCATAACAAAGTTTGATATATGATAGTTCAGTCCATATTAATAGATCCATAATTAAATAGCATTAAGACAACACGTAGGGGACAAAACTAGAACACTAAAACCCAACTAAAGTTTTGCCCAACATGGGATTTTCAGAGATCTATGGAAAAATAAAAAAAACAAATCATGTATCTCAGACCTTATGAGGCTTACATTATACTCTGCATTTTTAAACGAGTAATTAGAAAAGTAAGTATGTTTTGGCCATTCATACCAATTTCTTTAAACCCAAGGTCATTAGAATACTTCCTTTTCTTCAAACTAAAACAATTATTTCTTCAAGAAGGCAACCGTCTAAAAATGCATCATATAAAACCAAAGTCGAATCGTTCCCTTTGCTTATGTTAAAGGCTTACAAATACAGGGTGAGAAAGTATTCTTGACTGGGTTACCAAAAGGAAAAGAGAAGCCTTTGTGCTTTTTAAAAGGTAAAATCTCAAGCTAAGCAGCTAAATACTTCCCCCTCCTCCATGTCCTCTGCCCTAGGCTCTCCCAGAAGATCACAGGGAATCACATGGTAAAGATTAATTTACCAAGTACAAGTAGTAAAGTAGTAAATCCCTTTTACTACTCTTTGAGATTTATTTTCTACATTTACAAATGTTTACCACTCTTGTTTTAAATACTTCAAATCAAGAAAAGATTTATATAGCAACGACCCATTAATATTAACTCGCATTTTGCTGTGAAGTTTGAACGGAGTGTTTCCTGTGTCCTTCTGTCAGTGGTTTCCTGCCAGCCACACACAGTAACTGTTCATAGGATTACACTTACTGCTTTGTTTCTGTTGGAAATGTGTTTTATTTTCTTTATAAAATAATGGGTAATCTTTAAAATTGATTTTAGATGGTTCGAGGCATTACACCACAAAAGTAATGAGCACTAATGCCAATGATATTGGACACAAATTCATTTTCGCTTTATTTCATGTCTAAAGCAATTCTACTGAGCCTTGAACTGCTCACACGCTGTTATTAACTTGCGAGTAACCTAACACATGGGTACAGCCAACAAAAGTGATCAGAGTCCAGGTTGATCGGGACCTCAAGGCTACTGTCCTTTTTCTTGAGCTATAATTCAATTTCCAATTTTACTGTACATTAGACTCATTATTTTCCAGTGTTATCTGCTTAATACTGCCACCTGGAGGACACCCAGGTGAAAAAAGAATGGGGAGCTAGGCACTGCCAGTTAGAGAGAGATGTGGCTGGGGAGGGACCATGAACACGCGCACAGGCTCAGAGTTCAAGCAAGCATCGTGTATCTGCTGGGCACCATGTTGGGTTTGTTTCCTTGGTGTCATTAGCTAAATTTATGCCACCATGGCCATGGATATAGACAACAACAAAAAGTATCTGTGCTTTTTATTTTTAGTCATATATTTCATTCCGAAATTAAAATTACAAAATTATTAGCATTTTCCCAACTGGTTCGGTCAGCATAATTAGCTCATTTTAATTAATATCTGATTTACTGTATATATCAGTAAGAACTATGACTGCCATCCTCATCATATCAAGGCCTTTTTCTACCTGACTCACACTTGTCTCCACACCGAACAAATCTAGTAGCAGAAAATCAACTTCAAACATAAAGATTATTATGTAAAAGTCAACAAAATGCCATTTTTTAAATTAAACTGCCATAAAAATAAATGTATATAATGTTCAAGGCTTTATAAAAGGAATAAAAACTAGTCTCTAGGATTTTAAAGGAATTTCTGAAAAGATATTTACAACATGAGTCAAAAGTTATTCCTCCCCCATTATAACTTTACACAAAACTTTATAGGAAAACCTGTTTTTCCTCTGAATTACACAAGTTGAAAATCTGGTTTTCCTCCACATGATTTTATTAGGTGTATTATATATTGGTTCAATTAAGAACAATAAATAGCTATGCAGAACCGTTTAATCCTAACTAAGGAAACCCTAGGTCTACAGCACACAATATAAGGATAAATATAGACATGTGGATAGAGTGTGGAAGGCTAGCAGCTTCATGTAGGGAGAAAAAATTAACTCAGCCTGTTTACCTCTCACCATGAGCAAAAAATAAAACCTACAAATCTTCACTGAAGACATTCATGATGTGTGCTATGGCGCCCTCTATTGAACACAAGGAGTTATAAAGGAGAGAGGAGAGAGAGAGAGAGAGAGAGAGAGAGAGAGAGAGAGAGAGAGAGAGAGAGAGAGAGAGAGAGAGAGAGAGAGAAAGTAAAACTAGCTGTAGTTTTACAGTGAGATCCTCCTGTAAAAAAATTCCTTAAATTTCTAAGAAATACTAAACCGTAATACAAAGGTCTACGTTGTAAAAATACAGTTAGATTAATGGGATTCATTCAGTAAGGAAGGAAAGCTAGCTTCTGTTCCTGATGTCGATCAAATTAAAAAATTAATAGGAATGCTTAACATTAATTCAGAGTTAGAGACTTACCAAAAGAACTTATAATTTTAGTCTTTAACTTTCCTTTACCATAACTGTTGATAGAAGTAACTTTCAGTTTATAATTAGACTTGGGACAGGGGGGTATCCGAAAGGAAAATTATGGCCAAGATTGAGGAAAAATTAATACAATAGAAAAATATCACCATTGTACTGGCCAAATTTAGCCAGCATTGAAGAGTTCTGCTAATTATAAATTGGCTGGTTCCTAAGATTAATATAGTTCCTCCACCTTCCCTGCAATTCTCTTGTGTATAAAACTGAGTAAACATCCAACCCCTAGAATTGTTAGAGGTATTTGGTAAAAATGTAAAAAGCTAAACATACAGCAAATGTTCATTAAATGGTATAAATTATTCTTATTTGGCACCTAGTCAAAGAACCAATTCCTCTCTAATTCCTCTGTGAATTGGCCTGGATATGTACTTTGCTATTAAATATGTATTATTTCACAACTGACCTAAAAATGAAAAGAAATCATACTGGACACACACACGCATGTGCACAGAGGTGGCGCCGTTTCTGGAGGTTGAATACAAATGATGTTCTTGATTCAAAACTTATAGAAAAAAACATTTTTAAATATATGCTAAATAGCTAGAATGCAAGCACATTTCACATTTTAATGCCGTGTTGTCTTTCCTCACAAGTTCCCAAAGCATTGTACAATGAGCGCAGTGAAGGCTACTGGTGTAGCTCTACTTCATGGGTAAAGAGTGGGGCCCCAAGAAGACATTTAACAGAGGTCAGGCCGCGGCACTGAGGTGTCTGAGTTGCAGGTGGCACCCAGATTCCCATAGTGGCTTTGGGCTAGGGGTGGGGGTACTGTGCAGGGGGACAGAAGGGAGGTGTGTGAGAAACGAAGACAGGGAGAGTATACCAGGGGCAAAGACATGTAAGGTTACCACTTATACAGAAACTGGACAAAGAACAGGGGAGTTGTGTGTGAGAATCTGAGGGACACAGAATGGAGTGGGGAAACAAGGCTTAGGTCAGGCCTGACTACAGCCATGTGATATGGTATAAGACTCCTTGCTTAGATCAGGTCCAAGCCACAGAGAACCACCAGCTTTTGTTTTTAATATAAAGCTCATCAGTTTGAAGGCATATGTTTACCTACCAAAGTAGAACAAAAACACCACAGGAGAACTCAGGGTCTGCTCCATGATGTGGCTTCTGGATGTGATCCAGATCCAGTTTAGTGAATCTCGTCATGCCCTGAATTACATACCGTGCATCGCCACTGCAGTGGAAGCTCCAGAACACAAGAACTTGAGTCCACATTGTGCAGCCCTCTATCTCCAGAACCCAGCAGGGTCTGAAGGAGCCACTTAATAAATATATTGAATAGAGCCCTTCCCGAGCCACCATCAGAACGATACCAACAACCAGTGAGGATGGCAACCCATGAGCGACAGGAGGGCACTCTGCTAGCAGACCAAGGCTTAAAAGACTTTAGTGACTTTTACAAGGTTATAGAGCCTGAAAAAAATCAGAATCTAAGATGCATGGGAGACCTGGATCCCTGCTCATACTCCAGACCCAGGACACTTTCTACTCTGTCATCTGCATCAAATTCAACCAGCAAACAGTCAAATGACAACATATGCAAAAAAAAATAACCTAATGCCGGCGTGACCCCACTGCACAGAATGATACTCAGTCATTTATTTGGTAGCTCAACTATGGAAGGAAAGGTCGTATTGAAAACAATGAAGTTATTCCTGGTCAAAAACACATGCTCCATGCTTAACTAGCACATAAATACAGAGGCACGTGCTGCCCTCTGACCTAAGTAAGACTTCCGTCCAGCAGACAAGCAGCTCCCCAGTGCTGACAGCGACAGCAAGACTGGCTGTCCCCATCTAGGCCTCACTGGCAATGGCCAATCTGCAGCCTCCCCGGGCAGCATCTGGAGCGACAGCCTCACTGCACGCCAGGCAGCAGGGACCACATCTTAAGAGCAAGGCCATCAACCACCTGGGTCTCGTACAGGGGACAATTAAAACTGGAGCTATCCTCGGGAGGAAAGGGCAGGACAAAACTGACCAAGTCTTTGTTCTCTCGTGGCTGTGACACCCAAAATGATACCACTCTGATGTTTTCCAAGGAGTTAGCTGGGTTAATCTGTTTTTCTGATCACCTATCATTTTACCTCTGGCTTCTTTTTCTTCCCCCATCCCCCAATTTTTAATCTTGGATGTTTCTACCTGCCTCCATAACACCTTCAGAGGAAAGCATTCTACTGATCTAATAGAAATAAATGTCAATATTCATATATATACGTCATACCCAAATCTCTCAGGAGTGAGGGGTGTGGTGAGAAGCTAGTGCATTATTTCTGGCCAGTTCTAAGGTACCATTTGGTGAACTCAAAAAGAGATTACTTCAGATCCTGAAGCAAGCAGAAAAAGATAGTTCAGAAGACTAGACCTGCACTAACTAGTCCTATCACCCACCTTATTTCTTTATCTATAAAATAGGGCATTTGAAAAATCTGGTATAACATGATTTCACTTGTTAAGTGCATTAAACTACTAAAGCCAGTACTTAGGTAGTACATATTATATACCAGACATTGCTGCACATGCTTTGTATTTATTAACTCACTTAATCCTCTCAACAACCTTACGAATTAAGTACTATCATTAAGCCCATTTTATAAAAGACTTGCCCGAGCCTCCAGTCAGATTTGAACCCAGGCAGCCTGACATCAAAGAATGTGAGCAAACATATGTGCTGTTCTATGGGATAGATACTGTAGCATTCTAAAGAGTGTGAAAAATTATAGTGACGTGAATCCAAGTTACTTTAACTGCAGTACATACCATCATGTAGTAATCCAGAATGAATAACCTATTGAAACTATTCAAATGCCAATAAATACTCCCTTATAATCATTCCCTCCAAAGAGTAAACTATTCATATAAAGGCATCCAGAGGGCATCAGTCATCCATTGTAGAACTGATTTGGTCTTTCAGAGCTAAATTTTGTGAATGAAGACAGTTTTTAATAAGTGCCTTTTAATAAGGCACATTTATTTCCTGGAAAATTTTACTTTAGTCAACTAAACTCCCAAGTAATTTGGATCTACTTTATACTTTAAGGGATGATATTCTGATTCAATTAATTCATTGTTTACTTTCTAGATTTGGTCCCAAATAGACACCTATGATGTGAACCACAAGATGGCGCTCTAATATAGGAAATGAACTGCTGGGCTGATTATTAGCATTTCAGGAATGTCATATTCCCCCCAACACACACCATCACAGGTCACACAACTCTTGCAAAGCACACTGCTCACATCCCTGTGTGGCCACAAGCATTTCTGCATACTTACTTTCTGAGGAAATCTTCCAAACCCTGTCGACGTTGATCTACATGTTGGCGATTATTCATATTGAAAAATAAGTTTTTAGATGGCAGTTCTGGCAGTTGTCTTATGAAAAAGAAAATAAAATGTGTTTAATCATCAAAGCAAAGGAAGTTAGTTATAGAAACCCCCAGAGTTATTATTACCAAGCAAATTATGCATATTAATAATTATCACAAAACTACAATATAGTTACATATATTACAAATATAATAAGGGGATGAGCAAATCAATTAACTTAGAGAAACCTATTTAAAACATTTCTCAGTACTTTTCCAAGCAATACTCATAAAAGGTGGTAGAATTCGAGCGATCAGTTTCAAACTTAGATGTAACAGCTACAAAACCAAAGCTGTAATTGCAATCAAGAACGTCTATATTTGTATATCTTGATGCATGTCAACTATTAAATATTGAATGTAATAATCTCCTCAATATACTCTTTAAAAAAAAAAATCACTTACACCAGCAGTGCATTACTTTGGAGTCTCTGCCTCAGCCACACAAATTCTCTATATCTTCTTCGTACACATGATGTTTTCATGGTAAAACACATGCTATTAGTCTGTTTAGAGAAAAAGGAAATTATGAGTCTCACTTGAGGGAAAAAAATGTTTTTCTTATATCAATAATTCAATATGTGGTCCCAAGATTGATTTCAAGTAGGATTTAAACAACGAAAAGCATATTTGTAGCTATGCCTGATTCTGAAACCTGGCACATGATCCATCAATACAACAGCCCAGAAGTCAGCTGGGATGACATGAATGAGCTGTGCTGTCGCGGGGCAAGACATGACCTGGCCACTCCCTGGGACCCGAAGCAGCCCCCTGTTCTATTACATTCCTTTCAAAGATGAGTCACAAAAATGAAACAAACCCTAAGTATCATTTGTTGCCTTTTAACACAATCCAGCTACCATCCATGTAGCTGGAGGAAACTTTGGGGGTTAGAGATACCTTCTCATGACCTTGACATGACATCACAGAAGCCATCTGTCCTTGACATTGCATTGCTGAAGACCACACAATCACCAGGAATCCTGAAATCACTTTTTAAAAAGAGTGTATCATTTCCTTTCTAAGTGAGATGAGAAAGGGAGTGTGATCTGAGTTCGAGAGAGGCTTGGCAGAGGGGACAAGCATCCACTTGGTAGGGCGGAGGTGAGGAGGGACAAATTTCAGCCCTAGTTCTGCTAAAAGCAAGTCACCTGAAGCTCCAATTTCTTGACTGGTAAACCATGGATGAAACAGTGTACCCTTACTCCACAGAGTGGTTGTAAGGTCTAATAAGCAGCTAGCAAGTGTTACCTGTTAATATTATTATTAGTTACTAGATGTTGGTTTCCTTCCAGCTACCCTAAGGCATACTTGGAGAAAGCCACCTAGAGAGTCCCCATCCTAAGGAGAACTGCAATCCTTCTCCTGTGGGTAAACATAAGACTAGCAAATACATTTGCTTCTCCTTTGGGTAAGACAAGAGACTCAAAAATAATTTGCCTCTTGGTTTTGTAAAAGGATGTCTATTTGCTCTATTTCAAAATTTGATTTCATGTTTATATTGTCAAACAAAAATTTTTTATCTTCAAGATTTGTATTATTTAAAAAACTGTCATTATTCCACCATTTAAGCACCCAGCCGTTGTTTTCCTGGGGAAATCTAAGTGATTATGTACATTAGTTCTTAAACCATTCCCGCGAAATGTATGGCATGATTCCTGGTACACCTGAACTTCATAATATTCAGAAAACCCCAGGATTCAGAGAATTGAAGAGACTGAGCCCTTAAGAAGCTATTGGTCTACACCCCATCAATCTTTGACAATATAACAGCAAAACAAGCTGGACGGAGGCTGTGACCCAATACCATTCTGTGTGGATATCAAAGCATACCAGGGCCTCATTCTAATGTAATCCTTGGGGACTAAGCCAGCAGGCCATTTACTCCAAGATTAGTGCCCTAACGAGGCTTGGGCAGCTAGTTCTCAGAGCTCTCTCCCTGGAGATCACCAGTCTACAGCAGGGAGACTCCTGACACCCTAGACACAGACTGGGTTAACTGCAATTCCCTTTAATTTCTCTGTTCTGAATCATTTTGGATGTCAGTAACTAGAAATTCTTCTGGTGCCTACATCAGACTAAAGTCTCTCTATAATTCTTTCAAGTTCAGTGGAATTTATATGTGATGGACTACCCAGCTATTGTCCACTATTTTAGAGTTCCAAGGAAATGCTAAGATTTCAGGAACCTGATATCATTTCCCTTGAGATTAATTTAAGTAAGTTAAACAGCAGCTTCTCTACCTGCAAAACTCCATGGGTATAGCTCTGAGGAGGTTACTAGAACATTCCAGTCCCATCCACTCCTAATCATACAACAACAGGAGAAAGCCTCATCAGGATCAGACTATACTGAGAACACTCATGGAGTAATTTCTCTAAATCTGTTATCTGTTTATTGCTTCTACTATCAAACAAAACAAGATTTCTTTATTGTCAATTAGCATTTCAAAGAAATGCCAGAATACCACCAAATTTGTGGAACCCATCATTTCTGGCTCAAGAGAACATGTTTGAATTTACACCCTACTAATTACATAGCAGAGAAGAATGTATACTTTCATTAACTCTGAGGATAATTAAATTTCATGCCTACCAAAAAGTGTGTGATAAGGATTCCTAATTTTTTTTACAGGAAGTTAAAAGGCAACAAAAGAATTTCAATTCATTTTCAAATGCTTAGCTGGATGTAGTCACTTCATAATTTTCCACACTTTATGAATCTCTGGTAGAACTATTAACAAAATCAAAATGCTGGGTTGACCCTGGCAACAACCTTCAACACAATCATCAAAAAAAAAAAAAAAAAAAGTTCTGCAGGGCCTCCCTGGTGACACAGGGCTTAAAGCTTCAGTGCTCTCAAGGTACCACCAGCCATAGTAGCATGAGTTTGATCCCCGGCCAGAGAGTTAACCCACATGGCGCAGCAGACCTCTCCTGTCTTGCCCACTGCTCCCCTCAGCAGTGTATTTCAGTAGATCCACCAGTTCTGCTCCCCATTCTGTCTCTGGTGAATCCTCTCACCACCCCACGCCCCAGTACCTCTGGCCTATACCCCAGTATGCATAAATAAATTTAAAAAATCTTTCAAAAAAAACAGTTTTTAATTTCTACTTTGTTTATTCTCTAAAGTTAGGGAAACTTGAAAGAAAAAAGGGAAGACAGAAATAAAAGGACATCATGATGGCCAATGTTTGGGTGTCCACTGTGTAGTTACATACAATTGGAAGAGTAAAGGCTAAATTATACTGTACTTGTGCTAAGGAATCACAGATAAAATCTGAAAAAGTGTGAACTAAATCAAGTGGGGAAAGTGACCACCTTCAATATCAGGGCCAATAAACCACAGCCTAGGGGCCCAGTCCGGCCTGCTACATGTCCTCACCAACTATGTTTTATCGGAACACAATTACAGTCTTCATTTGCATATTGTTTATGGCTACTTTTATCCTTCAACAGCAGAATTGAGTGGTCTCTTAAGAGACTGTAAAGGCCCACAAAACTACAGATATTTACTGCCTGGCCTTTTGCAAAGAAAGATGTAGAACCTTGTTAAGATGATCACTGAAAGCTGCACATGACCTGACCCTGTTCAAAAGATGACGAATCAGTTTTTTTCCCAAATAAAATACATCATTTTTTAGTTATTTATTTATGATAATCAGATTAGACTAAGGCACATATAGGTAATTGCACATATTCATTCCTACTTCCCCATTCTATATAGAAAACATTGCACATCACTTTTCTAGGGAAGCTTATATCCTCTCAAAATTTAAGATTTATCGTTCAGTATACTATCCAGCATTATGTGATAACAAATCATAAAGAAATATCTTTAATGAGCTATAAATACTCTTTAACTGTGAATTTTAGATGTATTCACATCTTTGTACATAAAGGCAATAAACATGGAAATATTAATATTAACAAAGTTATAGTAAATAATTAAAATAATTTCTCAACTTAAGAAAACATCTTCTAAAGTAATTTAGAAAACTACTTCATTTAAGATGCAAGCATTCAAATTTGGTTGTTTGAATTAGGAAAATTTTTACAAATTTCATTTGAAAGTAAACCAGACTGCCCCATCCAGGATGCTCCCTAAAAATCACCACGAGGGCCTCCCCGGTGGCGCAGTGGTTGAGCGCTGGGTTGCGAAGCTGCCCGCAGCCTCTGCAGCGCAGGTTCGATCCCCGGCAGCTCCCCGGCCACCAGAGGAGGGTCCCACATGGCGCGCAGACCTCTCCTGCCGCCCGCTGCTCCCCTCAGCAGTGTACTTCGGTCCTTCTGCCTGTTCTGCTCCCTGCTCTGGCTCTGGTGAATTCTCTCACCCTCCTGCGCTTCTGACTGTACCCAGTGCTTGTATAAATAAATAAATAAATCTTGAAATAATAAATAAATAAATAAATGAAAATCACCACGATTGCTGTGAGCTGTGGACCATGTACTTACGTGAATGCATATCTCATAGTCAATATAAGAATGCCAAAAATCCTCCTTCTGAATCCTAGGATCTCGAACCCAGACACTTACAAATTCCTGTAGGAGCATCACAAAGAAAGAAAGAAATATATTTCAGAATTGCCAGTAGGGCTGAAGGAGGTGAAAAATGACCAAACTCAAACAATACTGAAATGAACTTAAACCACTGTGGTTGTAATCCTTTAAAAAACAAGAAGTAAAAGTAACGAATCAGACATTATAGGAAGTCCACAAAAAAGTTTTGCCATAGATGGAATTTTTAAAATAATGTAAAACTGAGCTGAATGCACTTTTGGAGCACTTTATGGGTTCTATGAAGACAATAAGAATATAATCTAAAATGGATTTTTAATTTTTTAATCATGAAAAATAGGTTCACACTTCCCTTAAATTTTAAAAGCTGTCATTTCTTACTTTCTTCCTCTCTCTAACACAGGTCCCGCCTAATAAATCACTTTCTAGAACACAAATAAGAAAGTCATATAAAAAACAAGCAAGGAGAGTTGAAAATGACTCTGTATGCACTGGCTTCATGAGAACAAACAGTGGTAACTTATTAATGGAAAGATCAACTCTTTTTAGACACTATAGTTCTCATTTAAAAATACACTTTCCCATGGATTAAATCACTTCATCTTCACAACAGCTTCATGTTAGAGGTAGAAGCTAGACATGTTTAAAAAACACACACAGCAGACAATTTTGTTCCCTTTTTAAAGATAATAAAAAGAAAAACATGGTAAAATGTGGAACACAATGCCTTTTACTATTCAAAAGGCACCAACATGTACATTTAAAAAGTATTATGTTTGGCATGATAAATTCTAAGGTGTAATTTAGTCGCTTGGTTATTATAAATTTGCTAATTGAATTGAATTGAAATATTTTAACTTTTTTTTTAAGTAGCTTCAAGGCTGAAATTTTAGGCAATTCTCACTGCTGTGCTTTGGCCTCTCTGAGAGGCAGGTTGTAGATGCTGTACAAGAGAAGAGATAAAGATTATAGGGTTTTTAGGACGGGGCACTTACTTTGTTATGCAGATGATGAAATGAGAATTTTTCACTACAGAGAATTTAAAAAAGAGAGATAAAAATAGCCCCTATTCCCTAAAAATAACTTTGCCACCTATCAAGTTTCACCTAAGACAACAAACACTTTGCGCCTGCATTTGAGACTTGCATTCTGCCCCATTGCTTACTCTTGGTTTATAAGGATTATGAGTTAATGTTCAAGAGAATTCTTATTTAATATTTTTCCATTATATTTCATTATGCTTTTAGAGTCATTTAAAGGAGAGAGGAAAACAAGATAAAAAAATAAATAGCAATAGAGAGCATTGCTATATATTTTTGACCCTCTTCAAATTATAGGTGGGATTAAAAACTAGTTGTAAAGCAAAGTATAAGAGATCCTCACTGCACATAGGTGAGAGGTGAAGCAGATCCTGCCCAGAAACAGGGAGGAAACAGAAACAAAACCCAGGCTTCCTGCCCTTAGTCTGTACATTTCACCTCAGTCTCCTATCACTGTGTGTGTGTGTGTGTGTGTGATTTTCCTGGAGTGCTTTGTACACACCCACAGTTCTTGAAAGAGATGCATCAATCATCAATGAATCAGTGAACAGAAGGACAAACAGGTGAGCAAGATCAGCATCCACAGTGGGTCACATTTGCTCTCCAAAGCATCACACACACCCAGCACTGCATTCTGACTTTCACGGACCCTAGGCACTTCTGATTTCATGAGCTCTTTCCTACACACACACACACACACACACACACACACACACACACACACACACACAAATTTAAATCATACTTTACAATCATATGCACATAAAGACGAATATACTAATATTACATATTAAAACCTTCTCTTTGACCTAGGAGTTCATTTTATTCCTCTGATTTTAAAAGAAACTAAAACAGTTTCATGAGCCCCTAAAAGCAGTATGGGCCCCAGACACTGTGCCTAATATAGATGTCAGCCCGGCCTGTAACTTTGAGCAAGGTCAAGTGCTGACAAGAGCTAACCAGACTACCCTGCCCCCACTTAAGCCAGCCTGCAGGAGAGACTCCTGGTCATCAGGACACATGTCACCACATCCCTTCACAGGGTGCTGGCAGCTCCACTTTTCCACCAGAGAGTCAGAAGTTCGTGAATAACCCAAAAGGGGAATTATTTCCAACAGCTCAGTGTTCCATATTGACCTATTACTAAAATAGTGGGCCACTACACAGAATAAACAAAAATGAAAAGACAAAAGAAACACATATGACAATTTGCTACAAACTTGTGATTAAAAAAAAGTGGTTTCTGAGCTAAAACTATAAAGTCTAGTTACTATAATGTCACACACACCCTGGTCACTCAGTATGTTATTAATTGAAGATGGTAGTAACGACAGACATCTGGAACAAAATCAGGACTTTTTTCCCTCTTTGTCTGCTACTGCTCAATGATTAACATATAAACTTGGAGTAAGGTCCCCTTTCATGGCTAGTACACTGAATTATTCATTCTCACAAGACTAGAGGTAAATTCCAGTACACCGACTTCCTCTACTATGAATTTACTCATTGGACCTCTGTTTCCATATCTAGAAAATGGGAATAATTCCTGTCCAATCTATCTCATCTCAAAAAAACAAAACAAAACAAAATACCAAAATCCAAGCTCACAGATACAGAGAGGAGATTGGCGGCTGCCCAAAGGAGGGGGTGAGGGGGAGTGGGCAAAACAAGTGGAGAGGATTAAAAGGTATATATGCTCAGCTTTAAAATAAATAAGTTATGGGTATGTAATGCACAGCATGCCAACTATAGCTAGTAAAACCTTATTTTATGTTTGAAAGATGCTAAGAGTAGATTTAAAAAATTCTCGAGAAAAAAATTTATAACTTTTATGTGGTGAGAGATGTTAACTAGATTTACTGTGGAGATCATTTTACAATGTATACAAATCCTGAATCATGCTGTACACCTGAAAAGTTATATGTCAATTATACTTCAATGTTTAAAAGAAAAAAGGCGCCAGGTCACCATAGAAAGATAAATAAATAAATAAGGCAAGAACTTACAAACCCAAAGCACTGAGGTGTCCTCACAAACACTGGCAGTAAGAAATGAAGAAAAGCTAAACCAACTGAATAACTTTTCTTAAGGTAAAAATTATTAATTTAAGAAACCAGTAGCAATGTATGTTAAAGGCAAAGTCAGGGCCTCCCCGGTGGCGCAGCGGTTGAGCGCTGGGTTGCGAAGCTGCCCGCGGCCTCTGTGGCGCCAGTTCGATCCCCGGCTGCTCTGGCCACCAGAGGAGGGTCCCACATGGCGCGCAGACCTCTCCTGCCGCCCGCTGCTCCCCTCAGCAGTGTACTTCGGTCCTTCTGCCTGCTCTGCTCCCGGCTCTGGCTCTGGTGAATTCTCTCACCCTCCCGCGCTTCTGACTGTACCCAGTGCATGTATAAACAAAACAAACAAACAAACAAATAAATAAATAAAATAAAACATGCCTCTATAAAAAAAAATAAATAAATAAATAAAGGCAAAGTCAAAATTAACTATGGTGTTAAGACCAAATATTTTTCATCCTGAAAAAGTTTAACTTGGCTGGAGTGTTAAACTATTCTTTCATGGATAGCAAATCTTCTTTCTTCTCATTCTCTTAAATGTTGCAGCAGTCTGAGAGCCACCCTGCTGTTGCTGCAATTCCAGAAGCGACTTCGCCCAAACATGTGGCCCCAAGCACCCGGCATAAGCTGATGAGCCTATCTCCATCCCAGTCCAGGCGTCTCTCCATGGATCCAGCCCCTTTCCTGGCATGCTCCACTTGGAAATCTCTCAATCCCAGAGTCCACATCCTTTCCATGTCATTCTGCTCCCCAACAAACAGCCAGAAACCCAGGTACCCCAGACTTTTCCTTGGATTCATCTCCCAATCCACGCTGACCAAGCCTTCAGATTTACCCTCCTTTGAGCCACCCACAACTCCAATCTCTCTACTCTCTGCCTTGGTTCAAGAACCACTTGTCCAACATTAAGTCAAGAACTGTTAATTGATCTCTGGGCTCACAGCCAATTCATCTCCCACACTAATTCAAAAATGGTTCCACAGCACCCATTTGATGATGTCATTTCCCTGAAATCCTGTAACACTTGCCCCTTCAAGATCAAGTTCCTTAGTGAGCACAAGATAGCTTTTCATGATTTTCACTCTATCATCTCCAAGGGCACAAACATGCCTTTCATACCACCAAGCTTTTGAACATGCTGTTCTCTCTGCCTAGACTGCTGCCCCTCCCCCAGTTTCTGCTTTTTCCGCCATCTTTTTTTTTTTTTTTTGGCTAATTCTAATTCATTTCAAAACACATCTCAGTCTGTGGTAATTCTGGAATCTCTCTGGAAATGCTCAGATTCACCCGGTCTGACAAAGTTGACCATCCCCCAAGTCACTAATGTCTCTGAGATCTTGGTGAGAGTCCCTCCTCACTTCATCTCACTGCTTAGGCCTCTTTGACCAGATGCTAAGCTCCTTTAGGATGGCTTAGATGAGGGTGTGACAAGTCCAATGCATTTCATTAATATTACTTAATGAACAAATGAATATCCGTAGGAATTAATTAATTCCCTGGGGGGGGGGGATGAGATCAAACTTCAGTTGAAATAAAAACTTCATCCACTTGGGTTCTTGGTCTCCATGAATTAATGTTAAGTTAGTTAGTAGCTGGTTTAAAGTTTATCTTAACTTAACAAACCCCTTCCTGTAAGGGTGTGCATAATTAATAGCATAAGGCTACAAGGGCAGTGCTTAAGGTCTATGAGAACAGAAGGTTTTTGGGCAGCCTAAAGAACTCCAGAAGCATCTATTTACACGGAAATAATTGAAAATCATTCCGATAGCTTCAGTAACTTAAGAAGTAACTAGTCCCCTAAGACTAGTTCCAGACAACAATTTGTTAGCCTACTTGGGGTTAAAATATGTAATTGAAAGTAATAAATGTACATTTATCTTAAAATATTCTATAATTCAGATGGGCCACCCCTCCCCCACCTTGCAAT